ACTGTTAAAGGATAACTGGATGAAATCCTGTCTTCCGATTTCAGAAAAATTCCTTTTTTTTTACATATTTTTACTTAAATTACTCTGCTTGCACAATCCGTTAAAGAAAAACTGTTATACAGTCAAAAGTCGTTAATTCGGACTCGTCGGGACTTCGGCGATTCCGGATTATCGATTTTTCTGGATTATAGATCATCAGTTTAAATCTCGTAAGATGGCATGCAGAAATTCTAAAATTAAAAATATGAAACCGTAATTTATGAAATAAAGAACAATTATGATCTAAAGGGTATCAAAATTTAAAAAAAAAAAAAAAAAAAGCTTAATATTTATTTGTTTATTTTATTAAACATTTCTTTCAATGTAAGTGTTGTTTAAGTTGCTTCATTTTATGTGATAATACTTTCTCCTTAATTCTATAAACAACATAATTTCTTGTTCAGTTAAGTCCCCTGTAATTGCAGCACCGAGAATACCGACTAATTTGTCAATTCGAAATTTTTTCGTTTTCACAAACCTCTGCTGTCACTTTCTTCAGGTCTTTATCCTTTATCCACTTTTTGCAGCCATTTCCACTTTTTGTTTGTTGGACATCGAAACATGCTTTCGCTTTGTAGATCCTTTGGACAGCTCCAGAATAGGAAATTCTTATTTGACATAAGCGAAAGTTCAAGCTTACTTTTCATAAAACTGCTCTTACAGTCTGCAAAAAATAGTCAGCCGGGATCCAATTCGAAGATTTAGGAACAACGCAATCTGCTTAACATTAACTGAAATAGATAATTAGATAATTTTAGCTTACACCATCCGTTATACATTAAACGCGCAGGCGAAAACGTATTCTGCACTTGCGTACACGCATATGCGCAGTAGTCAAGGTCTTACGCGCACGTGTAAAACACCTGTGCGCATGTGCCAACGCGGCGCATGCGCAGAAAGTTTTTAGCTTTGAGGTCCAGATTATAGATCATTCCGGATTATGGGTGTCCGAATTAACGACTTTTGACTGTACAATGAAAATTTAGAAAATGTTCAGAATTTTGATTTAAGTTAAATTATATAAATATTAATACGTGTGGAAAAACAAATTGTGTTTATTTTTAGGTGCCAAGCGAATATAATAAATATGGCTTATTTATTTTTTCTATTTTGAACTGTAATTTCATCATTAAATCTTGTAATATAATTTAGTTCTGCATGGTTTTTTTTTCCTCTCATTGTAAACTAGTTCTGTAAATTGAACTGTTATTTAAAGTTAAAAAAAAAAAGAATGTAATTGTTTTCCATGGTTGAGTTACCATGAATAAATCCATGAAAAATTACAAGCCTAATTTTAAGGTTATTCAGTAGTGTATAATGTAATTAGACAGGTGCTTATTTTTTTCCCTTAAAAAGTGCTTATTTTTTAAACTAAAATGTGGCTGCGAACCCTGCGTAATGTTTTGCATTTAAGAATTAGTAACTGAACTTTCAGTTATTAATTAGTAACTGTTTAAATTTGATTCACTTTTAAAAAATATATTTTTACCATTTAAAAGATATTTTTGTTGTTGAAGAAAATCACCTGATTTCTTGAAAAAATCTGATCTTTAAATGTCGTAGGTTGACAATGCATTATTTTCCTTTAGAATATATTGATTTTGAAAAATATAAATAATAAATGCTATAAAAGTACAGTATCCAAAACACTTCTTAGGGAAAAAAAAAGAAAAAAAAAAATGCTACTGTAATTATTTAAAAAGTAATTTCATTTGTCGTCTTATATTTTTTATATTTTTTTCAAAATATTTAAATGTGTATCGAGTTTTTCCTGAAAAATTCGGGATTTCATATATTTGACAGCAGAGATGGCACTTTGGGAAGTAGGCTATGGTTTGCCTCTTGCTAAAATTTGCACATTCTCCCTTGCTAATTGGTTGAGTAATGAATGAGTCCCCAGGTGAAATATTATATATTAAAAAGTACCATAAATCTCAATATAGAGCAGAGTCCAGAAGAAGACAAGGAAAATAAGGATGGGCTTTAAGGTTCTACATAGCATTATAAACTGATAAGGTAAAATTCCTGTTAGAGAGATTAAAGATTCTTTCCATTCAAAACTTGACAGTTAGCATTTTACACTTCTCTTTTCTGAATTTTCTTTAATTAAAAAATCTTTTAGTTTTTTTGCTCTTATAAAGTTGATAGGCAGAATTTTTCTTTCACTGTGCACCTCAGAAGATCTAAAGGCAAGATTTATAGACCCTACAGTTTTCAATGTCAGAAAAATGTGATGAAATGAAAAGGTTTTTAAGTTAATATCTAATGGGCATACTTTATAAAAAATCTGTGAAAGGATTTCTCGTCTTTATTAAAGTTTTTGGAAAGAGAGTAAAAAAAAAAGAAAAAAATACAAAAATTGAATTTTCTCGCTTTGATCCCCGAAGTTTTCGTTTGACCTGAGTACAAAGTCTTTATCCGACCTCAAAGCTAAAACTTTCTGCAATGCGTGCGTTTATGCATATCATAGGCTAAGCTCCCCTTATTCTTTCGTAATTATCTATTTCAGTTAATGTTGCAGATTGCGTTGTTCCTTAATCTTCTAATTGGATCAGGCTTATTATTTTTTGCAGACTGTTAGAGCAGTTTTATAAAAAGTAAGCTTGAATTTTCGATTATGTCAAAAAGAGTTTCCGATTGTGGAGCTGCCAAAGGATCTACAAAGCGAAAGCATGTTTCAATGTCCATCAAACAAAAAGTGGAATTGCTGCAAAAAAATGGATAAAGGCATGAAGAAAGTGACAGGTTAGTGAAAACGAAAAAAATTTGACAACTTAGTCGGTATTCTCTGCACAGCAATTACAGAACTTGAACAGCGGACTATGTAACTGAACAAGAAATTATGTCTGTTTATAGAATACGAAGCAACTTAAATAACTTACATTGAAAGAAATGTTTAATAAAGTAAACAAATAAATATTAAGCTTTTTTTTTTTTTTTTTTTTTTTTGTAAATTTTGATACCCTTTAGATCATAATTGCTCTTTATTTCATAAATTAAGGTTTCATATTTTTAATTTTGTAATTTCTGCATGCCATCCATCTTACCAGATTTAAATTGATGATCTATAGTCTGGAAAAACCCCTAATCCGGAATCGCCGAAGTCCCGACGAGTCCGGATTAAAGACTTCGGACTGTATTATCTTCCCTTTATTTTCTTATTTTTCAACTAGACACAAGCATTGAAGCAATCAAAGAGAACAAAGATATTGAAAATTCACAGTTTATTAAAAACTTCATTGTACATGTGTCAATCACCATACATACATCAATATCTGCCTAAAATTTAAAAATTTTGCTCTAAATTTTTTTACTTGGTGCTTTACTTAATTCTAAAAATTCTGCCCCACTGCCTGTGGTGCTGGTCTTGACCTGATGTGATTTCTCAATACTCATGTTATTAAATAAAATTAACAGTTTCTTCTATACAAGCAGTTCTGTAGAATAACAGAAATCTTGAACTAAATCTGAAAATTCTGAAATGAAGAAGAAATTGATTTTGTAAAGAGAAAATTATTCATCAAAGATACATTGTTAAAACATTAACAAATCAGGATATGAAGCAGAGACTCGTGATAATACTAATTTATTTATTGAAACAAATAAACGTACAAAAGATACCAAACAGAAGGAAACTGGGGTAAATTAGCTAAACTGTCTAGAAAAATTTTCAAATTAAAAAAAGGCCTAAGCATTATGTTTGTTGCTGCAAAACAAATGTTTTGTGGATTTTAACCCTTCCAAGACGGCATGCCTTTGTTTAAGATGCTCCCTGTTGTTGCTTCAAAACATAAATGTTTTGTGGATTTCAACCCTTTCTGGAACGCCTTTGTTTAAGATGCTCTCTCGTGATGGATGGGAATTGAAATGAATCACTCACTCCACAGGCCAAGGTTTTGCGTCAACTAAGCCTAATCTGAGGGAAAAAAGAATCAACAAAAAGAAAAAGTTTATATCCTAATGTCATAATTTTTAGTACTATTTTAAATTATTACTTAAGTTATCATGTACATTAAAGTTAGCGTTTAGTAATCTTTTTCCTTTACTTTACATGAAAATATATAAAAAAATTACCTTGAGAAATAATTTTTAGAAGCGCTATTCAAAGTATCTCAAAGTTTTAATTGATAAAATAATTAATAAACTTTTAAATTAATAAAGAAATACAAAAAAAGACTGTTTACAAGAAGTAACAAAATCTTTCACATGAACTGGAAGGCAAAGAACTTAGCCACTTCAGTCTCTGACAAAGTGTCCATGTAAGAATCGCTAGAAATATCGCTCTCCAACTCATTTAGAAAATGAATCAAGTGGTTGGCTTTCAGATATGGAAATATAACATATATGTAGAAATCTATTTAAGATAGAATTTTGAGTTCAGTGTTTTTCTGCTGAGCGTGAACTAGTCATGCGGTTAAATAGTAGTATGCTTTTCAGGAAAAATAAGTAAATAATAAAATAAAAGATAGCAGTTTTGCAGTACAGTTGTGTAATAATGCTAACCTGACCAATTTTAAGAATGCAAAGTACTTTTGGTTGCATTAATTTACAAGTTTTGATAAACTATTTTATATAAAAATCAAAACTTGTTTTTGGATAACACATGAACTTGTTTCACATTTTGTTTTTTACTATTGAAAGAATATAATTTGAATGTGCTTTTTCTGTATGCGGTATTTGGTCTCTGATTGTAATGTGTTCTTTGAGATTTGTCATAAGTCGATAATTGTCCCTATGTACTGGTTACCTTACTGCTGAGGAAAAAACTGTGTAAAAAATGTAGATCATATCGTCATTTGTTCCTATATAATGTGTAGTACATTTTTTTATTGTGTCCAATTGCATTCTTTGTGAGTTATTTGCATTTATAATTATTAGCTTGATATAAATATGTTAATATTTTAGATTTTTGTTTCTCTTTTAAATTTTATGTGGTCATTTATATTATCTTAATTTTTTAGAGCTGTTGCAGCATATCTGCGAGCTTTAAATCTGAATCCTAGCAATGCTGTTGTGCATGGAAATTTAGCTTGTGTCTATTATGAGCAAGGGTATGATTTATGGTTTAAATTATTTTACTTCATAATCATCATGTATTCTATTTAATTTATATCAATATTTGCATATTTTATAGATTAATAGATTTGGCAATTGATACATACCGAAGAGCTATAGAACTTCAGCCTAATTTCCCTGATGCTTATTGCAATCTTGCAAATGCTTTGAAAGAAAAAGGCTTAGTTAATGAAGCTGAAGATTGTTATAATACTGCACTTCGTCTATGTCCAACACATGCAGATTCTTTGAATAATCTGGCAAATATTAAGCGAGAGCAAGGTTTCATTGAAGAAGCAACTAGATTGTATCTCAAAGCACTAGAAGTGAGTTTTTTTTTTGGGGGGGGGAGTTTTAATAGCAGTTGTATCTGTCCCACAGATAATCTATAACTTCATGCTTTTTTAAGCATTTTAACTTTCATGCTTTTTAATCTAACTATAACTTCATGCTTTTTTAAGAAATGGAACTTAATGTGTTTATTTTTAAAGAAGTCTAATATGTACTTTGTTTCCTGAAGACTTGCGTGTAGATTCTTTCACCTATTAATCTTTTATATCAAAATTTAAAAACATCTTTTTCTGGTAGCTAGCTTTGGATTATGGTAATTTTAAGAACATTTTGTCATTTATATTATTACCTATTATATATGGTGAAAATGAAAATGGGAAAAAAAAAAAAAAAAAAAAAAACAATAAGTTACAAACTATTATTTTTCATGAAACTGTTGAAAGCATGTATGGGGCAGTCCAGCATTTCATTTTTCACACTTATTTGTGGTCTTACCTGGACACTGAGTACATCATAGTTGTATTTTACTTGTTTGGTCGAATTAAATTTCATTAGCTACAAGTCTTTGTAGAAGTGATTGTTCTTCCAGGTTTCAGACGCACTACAGATCATTTGAGATAGTTCTGTGAAATGCTGTGACATAGCTCGAGTTGATCCATTGTGTCCTCATTCTTGCAAAACATGAACTGAAGGAGCCATGCATTTTGAATTGATGCATCAATCAAAAAGATGGCAAGTGAAAACTGTTATTTCTTTCCATGGTATCCAATGTGATATTTTGAATATTTTCGTTCATTTGATACCTCCCATGAACTTGCTTATGCATTGTAATTTGCATGAGGCTGAGGTACTGCAATCTTCTGTTTCTTAGAAGCCGACCAGCATTTAGCTGGTCCAAGTGAGTTTACTTCAGTACAGTTTGAAACTGTTGTAACAACATAGATATCTTTCCTTTCTTAACGATTACACCAGGTGGTGTGTTTTTCCTGTAATCAATAAGACCTCTTTCTTCTTTCTGAGATTTTTAACATTTCAATTGAACAATTTCTAATCCTGTTTCCTCTGGCTGTACCTACAACCGCAAATCCAAAATTTGACAATTCCTCAACTAGCTTTATGGAAGAAAAGTAATTGTTTATTGCTATCATAAATGGATATTTTGGAAGCTTGCAGATGAAATCCAGGACAACTCAGCCTTCTTGGTTTTCTAATTTGCTTTCATCTTTTCCTTGATAAAAATCAAATTGTACTAAGTAACCATTTGGACAATTTAGAGACCAGGCCTTAAATCGAAATCTAATGGGCTTTTGTCTATTAAACTGTTTACCCAGATGTATCTGTAGTAAGGTATAATGGCATTATCAACATCTGAACCTTGCTATAAAGGGAAAACCTTCAAAAAAGAGTCATTTATCATACTCATCATGTTCCATAGCTTAATATGATGTTCTTCTTTCTCGATTATTATTATTGTCACAGAAATGAAGATTATTCAATGATTTCTTCAAATCTCTTTCTTATTGCATTAGACACAGCAATATTTTTAATGTCATCACTGTTCTTCCAAAAAATATTCTTTTACGGCGAACTGTGACATATTCACTAACAATTTAACTCCTTGCATCATCATAAAGAGATTGCTAAAAAAGAGTACAATGATGATGATGATGCAGTTTCCATAACACGATTACAGTCTTCATTCCAGTCTCATTTTTCTTTTGCACATTAGTCAGATCGCTCGTTACCCAGTTTCTTTTCTAAATCGTTCTTGTCTTCAGTACTGGAGCATTATTTTCCATTATTGCTATTATTATTTATAGTATCATTGTTGTCTGATTGTTGTTGACAGAAATCTTATTTCATCATTTGCCTATAATTTGTTCATTGTGACATAGTCTTCATCACTGTCCTCATCATTGATCTGAGCTTTTTCAGGTGGCTCTATAAACACATCTGCTGCATCATTGTCATTATTTTCTTCCAGTTCACAAAGCAAGGTGATAGCTTCCTTTAAGTTAAATAAATAACAATTAGAATTTTTTGTATACACAAATTAATATAAATTATATTGTCTTCAATAATGTTCATAATTTGAAAAAAAATTACATTCAAAAGAAAATTTAAATTGATTGAAAAATTAAAAATGAATTTTTTTGACAATTTTATTAATGTATTTCTGAATACACAAATATATATTAGGAAATAATGTAGGATTTCACTATCTTTTGTATAATATTAGTAATAAGAAAGCAGATTTGAAGTATTACTGCATAAAACACCTTTAGATTATCAATAAGACAGTAAAACCTTTTAGGCTTAATGCATTCACAAATGCCCAGTGTCCCATAAATAGGATGCCAAAGATTGAGCGCAATTATAGAAAAATGATACTGTTATTTTTGAAAAATAACTTTGCAGAAGTCGTTGGTGATCTGATTAAAGCAAATCATTTAAAATTTTTTTAGTTTTATTGGATAAGAAGATTGCAAAAGGTATTTATTCCTGTAGTTACTTCCTGAGGCCATGATGTGTGGATGCTGGAACGACTGACTCCTGTAAAAATAACTAATATCCAACTGATGACTCCATTTATTGCTAACAGTAGAAACTTTTGCAGATGACCTATATACTTGTCAGCTGGAATTTGAAGTAGAGGCTCTGTCAAGTTCTCCCTCTTTTATTGTTTTTGGGATAGGACTTATGTATTTTTCAGAATTGCATTTAAATGTGTGAATGGGAAGTAATGTCTGAATTGTGACATGGACTAGTGATGAGCTTTGCTTTAAAACTGTTTGTATACCAGGGTTTGTTGAAGATTTTGGCCTGTCGCATGGATACTGTAAAGAGTATGTAACTAAAGCTATGTTATTTCATTGATGCACTGGTTGGTAGAATTTGTTTTTAATGTAATTCTTATTATTTTGTAAATGTCATGTGCTGTTACGGTAAGTTTGAATCCAAATTTTTCGGATTTCAAAAATCCAAGTCGGAGAGTGATGGGATGGGTCTTATATTGATAACAGTTTTAATTTTTGCAAAATGATTGAAAAAGTTTGTCTGTTAATTTCTTTGGCAAGTTTTCCATCAAAGGTGGAAGGATAGCCACCTTTTATGGCAGTTTGTGGGATTCACGTATGTTTGTTTTCACAGTTGGATGTTCAGAATTCTTTAGCTCATTATAAGTGTAAGAAACAGCTGCTTTATGAGGATTAAATGAAAAATACTTGTACAGGATTATTGCTGGGGTGCCTATCTGTTTATGGTAGAATTTAGTCTGAAGAATATCGCGAGTTCATAAGATCAGGAGATTAAGAAATTGAAAGCTATTATTTAACTTCTGTAAATCGTAAACTGTAGGTTATAAAGAAATTTTCTGAGATAAATGAAAACAAAACAGAGTTGATCTACTAAGTTTACATAACTACTAGTATTTCAACTCATTCGGAGGTTAGTTGTTTCACCTTGTTAGAAATTCAACATTTTTTAAAAATTTATTTTGTATTTTTTTGTCATTATCTTTTTTCAGATCTTTCATTCGAAAAGATGCGAAGGATTCAGTTAATTTTTCTTTGCTTGCTACCTTTTCTTTAGTCTGTGATCATAAACTTTTGTTCCTGAAGATATAAAAATATTTACTAAATGATCGAAAATATTGTGACCAGATAAAGCTTATCAAACCAGTGAAATATGATAATAGATGTTACTAAATATAGTTTTCAAAATATTATTTTAGTAGAAACAAGAAAACTGTAAATAAATTGAAATAAATTTCATTTGTTTGATTTCTAACTTGTTATTTTTCCCTGTGTGCATCTCTGTTTTCCTCTCCGTCTTATTTTTACTCTTACAAAAATATCAGGTATCAGTGACTATTAAAAAAATGTTTATCAGTAAACTAGTTATTTTTAAAGGTAATTTTTGGTTAACCTTCTTCCAAGGTCAATAAATTTAAGAAAATGGTCAAAAAAAAATTTTTTTTTTAATTCACAGTTTGAGAGAAAATTGTCATTTTGATGAATTATATGTGAAAAATTGTTCTCGTGTTAAAAATAAAGTGTTTATATAGAGAGTTAAAATTTAAAATTTCCCTGTAATGTTGGTTTCTTGCATACCTGCAAGTGTCGGTATTAAGCTAAGTTTTTACATTAAATAGCCCTACTATGTTCGCTTTTCTACCACATGTAGGTAGTAATAAACATTTTGCATAGCATTACATCTCACATTTATTACACATCTGGAAATTTGAGCTATAACTTAATATTTTGTCTCAGTATGGTGTATTTTAAAACAAGGAACAGCGCAGGAAAAGTATTTTTTAATATATTTTAAAGCAAGGAACAAACAATTAAAATAATCTGAAAGCTATATGGTATGCTTTTAGTAAGAAGGTTACAAAAGTTCATTATAATAAAACATAAGAAACAACACGATGTATCTGTAAGGAAGCAGTTGTTTCACTAGGATTTGGGGCGAGAATGGATCTCCTACCCCTAAAAAGGAACATCTTTGAACTTGTTCTTATGGTTAGATAACACCATCTAGAAACAGAAAAAGTAAATTAAATAATACAGTATAAAGTTCGAAATCGGGACTCGTTGGGACTTCGGCGATTCCGGATTTGGGATTTTTCCCAATTTAAATCTGGTAAGATGGCATGCAGAAATTATGCAGTTAAAAATATGAAATCGTAATTTATGAAATAAAGAACAATTATGATCTAGAGGGTATCAAAATTTACACACACACACACAAAAAAAAAAAACTTAATATTTATTTGTTTACTTTATTAAACATTTCTTTTAATGTAAGTTGTTTAAGATGCTTCCACAAAAAATTTAAAAAGTTCTTTTTTCTTGTGTCATATGGACTTTCCAATGCCATACTCCTCACATAAATTTGAGATGGATATGCTTTTATCCATTTTTGGCAGCAATTCCACTTTTTGTTTAATGGGCATCGAAACATGGTTTCGCTTTGTAGATCCTTTGGCAACTCCAGAATTGAAAACTCTTTTCAACAAAATCGAAAGTTCAAGATTAGTTTTTATAAAATTGCCAGAATAATAACAGTCTGCAAAAAATTATAAGCTGGATGAAATTAGAAGATCAGGGAGCAGCACAGTCTGCTACATTAATTGAAATGCCTTACAATCAGTAGAGATAATTTTAGCCTAGCTTAATAGCATCTGTTATACATTATTGACTGTGTATTGCAAGATTGGCAACGAAAGGCAAGTTGTTTCACTAAATTTTATCTTGCTCCTATTGCATACTGAATTAAGCCTGAATTGTATTAGTTAAATTATTTACTATACCTACATTTATTTCTTTCACATGCTTCAAGCTAATCTAAGTCCTGAATAAATAAACTCCCACATATAATTAAGGCTTTATCTAGGCCTGTGCTCGATACCGCCTTGTGCAGTCTCAACGAGTCCTAAATTCTGCTACAAAGCGCTTTCCTAAGTTCTAAATTTTCACCATGCCTAAAATTTGGATCCCAGTGCTTTCCCTAAATAATAAAAACTTCTCATCCATTAATTTTGTCGCTTGGTGCTTCCCCAAATTCCAAAAATTTCATCTTCCCTAAATTCTGCCATCCAGTGCCGACATATTCTGCCGCCGCTTCTGGGTTTATGGTGAATAACATATCAGTTATTCTTAATTAAAATAGCATTAAATGTAATCTTTTGGCTTATGAGTTTTATTAACAAAATATATTTTTAGCATAAAGGATTGCCCATATGAAATATGGGCGAAACTGTTATATTGTTAATGGTAGAATAAAATTGTCAAAAAATTTATTTTATAAGTATAAACGAGTTAAACGTTCCAAAGTGTAAATCTGTCCTTGAAATTTTTGCTCAGAAAACTTATTACATAGCCTCGTGTTTATCAGAAGTATGTTTTAAATGCAATCTTAACTTGTTTCTAATGTAAAAAAAAAGTTTTTCTTCATTTCTATTTTTAAGTTTCTTCATTTCTAGGCCAAAGTAATTTCTAATTTTAAGCTCTTCCATTTTTTGGTGTGTGATCAGTTTTTATGTTACAGTACTAGTAAGAGTAATAGTTATAATATAGAAAATAAATATGAATGAATATCTTAATTTTATTATAGATATTGAGCTCAAGAGAGATTTATTAATTCAGTAGTCTCGAAATAAATTAAAATTTTCAATTATTTCAAACAGGTTCTTGTTTTGTGAAATGGTCCTTTTCATTCAGTGTTCCCCCTAATTATAGCTAATTTAGTTCAGTATTGTTTTTTAATTTCTTTTCAACGAAAAGGACGTAAGCCCAGAAGGGCGATTAATTTCAAAATGGCATTTACTTTTCAAACTTTTGATTCACTTTTCAAAATGTTGCCACCAAATATTATTGCAATGTATTATATTTAAAGAATGCTACTCACATTGTGAAGAAACAACAGTACCTAGAGCCATCAAATTTTGAATAATGTAGACCTCCAACTGAACATGGGCACTTGGAAGCCCAAATTTTGAATTTAGAATTTGTTTTATTATCTAGTCAAAATTTTGTAAAACTTTTAACATGTTTTTGATTAACAAACTCAACAATAATAGCAACACTGTACAGTTAAAAAAAAAAAAAAAAATCTACCGCACAAAACTGTATCAGAAATTCTAAAGATATGCTGATTTAAAATATTTTGTGATATTATTGTTGAATTTTATGGGTTTTAAGTGCAAAGAACATGATATTTAATCAATAACTGTAAAACACAAAATGTTAAAAAGCCCTTTTGGGTGTAATCTGAAGTCCTGAAATCTTTCAGATTTTTTCATTATTTTTTATTTATTTATGTATGTATGTTTGTTTTTGTTTCGTGTGTGTAATGAGCTTGAAGAACACATATTTATGTCTCAAAAGAATCTTGTGCTGATTTATTAGTTATGATATTTTGAAATTTTAGGTTTTCCCAGAATTTGCAGCAGCTCACTCTAATTTGGCTAGCGTATTACAACAGCAAGGAAAACTAAATGAAGCTCTGATGCATTATAAAGAAGCTATACGGTAATCAACAGAAATTTGAGGAATTTCCTTAATTCTCCCTAACAGTGTTATCTTTTTTATTGTTAAGATTAAAGGATATTTGGGATTACATGATTATCTATTCATCTTATTAAAAAGTGTTATTTTACACTTTCAACCTGTTTCTTATTTTCTGAAGTAAACTATTGATCTGACCAAGGCTCGATTCTACTAGGTAAGAAGAGTCAAAATTCAGTAATGTTGGCTGGTAACAGCATTTTGCACTTATTGCAAGAAATATTGATTAAAAAATATGAAATAAATTTTGTGTGTTTTCCTCGTTATGTTTATTTTACTATTTTTTCATTACACAATGTTATATCAATAAGCAATTATAAATTTTCTGTAATGAGTGTAGTTTTGACACTGCGATCAATTGCCAGTGCATATTTGGGTATCGACAACTTGATCATCATTTATCCCTTTTAAAATTTCTTTGGCCACTAGAAGGTCAGTACCACTGCTGTGGGGAATGCCTAGTCTATAATGAACTAATATACAAAGAAAATTAATAGAGATGAGCATGTAGAGAATATATTGCCATCGAAGCACATCATTGATAGAATCTGTCCTTGCATGTATAAAGCATGATAAGAACTATGTTCATTACCTGGCTATGGGTAGCTTGGTTTGACAAGTCACCTGTGCTGCTCTCTTCAGGCTGTTAGATATTCATGTGTGGAGAACATCTTGAAGCATTGATATGTCAACAGGAAGCTGTAGTGCTGTTTCTCTGTAATAGTATGAGATTTCTTTAACTAGTATTCAAGGTGACTTCTGGTATGTCTTGGATTTACTGGTCTCTTATACTGGTGAACTTGATGTATGCATCCATCCTTTCCAGTAAGTAACATGTATTCCTCTTTTAATGATTCACGTTGATGAGTTTGGTATCATGCAGCAGAACAGTGCGCTACTACATCTGCAAGAAATACCAAATTATGGGATAGAAGAGAACTTTTTTTAAATTTAATATCTTTCATTGGTCATATAAATTATCAGATTCCCACATTATTGAACAGATGTAGGATGCTACACAAAGCATTGTAGAATAGAATAGAGAAATCATATTTCTCAGAATTTAACAACCTTATTATGGACCTCATTGCAGGAAGTAAGAGGTTTATTGTGTAGAGAACAACTTCTACAAGTTCATGCTTCATCATAATCTGGCAGATATGCCTCTTGCAGGGGCTTGTCCATCGTAAGACTAGTATACAGTCAAAAGTCTTTAATCCGGACTCGTCGGGACTTCGGCGATTCCGGATTATCGATTTTTCCGGATTATAGATCATCAGTTTAAATCTGGTAAGATGGCATGCAGAAATTATAAAACTAAAAATATGAAACCGTAATTTATAAAATAATGAGCAATTATGATCTAAAGGGTATCCAAATTTACCAAAAAAGAAGCCTAATATTTATTTGTTTACTTTATTAAACATTTCTTTTAACGCGCGGATGCGTAAAACATACCTTACTCATAGCCGAAATTAGAAAATTGCAACCAGAAAACTGTGATTTGTATTCGTGATATTTATAATGACGAGGAATTTGATTTAAATCATATCAAAGATGGAGTACATCGAAATTAAATACTACATTTAGTAAGGAATTATAAGCCGACTAAAATAAAAACATCTGCCCTGAAGATAACGATAGTGCTGACAGATCAACTTCCAGTTCATTGCCTGCTGCGACGTGCCCCCCCCCCCCCCGTGCAGAGCAGCGTGAAATTGATAAACAGATTTCGGAACGGTTAGATAACAAAGGATATGCTTTTATTCATTTTTTGTAGCAATTCGTTTTTTGTTTGATGGACATCGAAACATACTTTCGTTTTCTAGATCCTTTGGGAGCTCCAGCATCGGAAATTCTATTTGACATAATCGAAAGTTCAAGCTTACTTTTAGAAAATTGCTCTTACAGTCTGCAAAAAAATAATAAGCCGGATCCAATTTGAAGATTAAGGAACAACGCAATTATCAACATTAACTGAAATAGATAATTAGATAATTTTAGCTTATACCGTCCGTCATACATTAAACGCGCACGCGAAAACGTATTCTGCACTTGCGCAGATGCATATGCGCAGTCGTAAATGTCTTGCGCACACGAGTAAAACGCCTATGCGCATGCATCAATGCGGCGCATGCGCAGAAAGATTTTAGCTTTGAGGTCCGGATTATAGATCATTCCGGATTACGGGTGTCCGAATTAACGACTTTTGACTGTACCAGTTATTTTAGCAACTAACAGGTTTTTATGTTAAGAACATTGAGTTTTCATTTTGTTTTCCTCATTTTAATATGAAAATGCATGCTTAGCAACTCTCCAATTGAAATTTTTTTTTCACATAATATGAAAAGTGAAATTGCATATTGGTTTTATATAATATATATTTTCTGCTCACTTATGTTGCTTACTAACATTCGGGCTGTAGTCTTTTACATAAAATAAACTTGTATAAACAATTTATTTTTTATACTTTGAATTAAATTTTTATCAAGTCAATTTTTTGCTTGTTAAATTCCATATTGGTTGAAAGGAAATGTTCTCTTTTCTCCAAGTTTTGGGTTTCTTTAGTGGGATGCAAACTTTACTCGTAATACAAATTCTTCGAAGCCTTGTACTTCACATTTATCAAATTAAAGTGTTGAGTGGAAAAACTCTAAAGGTGATAGAAATTCTACTTGCATGAAGGTGACACTAAAATTTTTGTAACTAAAAGAGCTTATATTTAATCTTTGTCAGTCTACATGACTATAAAAATTTGTATTTATATTATAATTTCTGTGCACATATATTGTAGAATATGTTAACATCTGTCTAACATTCACTAGAAGTGTAACTTATTATTTTTTTAATTTCAGAATTTCTCCTACTTTTGCTGATGCTTACTCAAATATGGGTAATACACTTAAAGAAATGGGAGATATTCAAGGTGCTTTGCAGTGCTACTCGCGTGCTATACAGATAAATCCTGCATTTGCTGATGCACATAGCAATTTGGCTTCCATCCATAAAGTAATCAGTATTTTAAATATGCATAGTTCTTTCCCAACTAAATGTTTTGTATGCTGTAGGTATGATTTTCTAAATTGTTAGATCTTTTAAGTGTATGTCTATGTATGCACATACACCCAGTTGCAAACTCGTACTTTGATTTAATAACATGCAGCTTTATGCTGTTTACTTGATTTTATTGAAAGTACACTGTAATTTTTCATTTCGGTAAAACAATTATTTTGTTCATTTTTAGGATTCTGGTAATATTCCAGAAGCCATTGCCTCATATCGTACTGCTTTGAAATTAAAACCTGATTTTCCTGATGCATATTGTAATCTTGCTCATTGTCTGCAAGTAAGTATGCATATATTTTGTGAGCCCATAAATAATTTGAATTTGTAATTTTTTGGCCTGAAAATTTGCCTGTTAGTTATAAACTGTTGAAATACACCGAGTATTGAATGTTGCGAGTATTGAAAGTGCAAATAAATTATCTTTTATTAGATTGTCTGTGATTGGACTGATTATGAAGCACGCATGAAAAAGTTAGTATCTATAGTTGCTGATCAGTTGGAGAAAAATAGATTACCTTCTGTTCATCCTCATCACAGTATGCTATATCCCCTTTCTCATGAGTTTCGAAAAGCCATAGCAGCTCGCCATGCCAATTTATGTTTAGAAAAGGTACTATATTTTCTATTTTATGTAGGTTTTGTTGATTATGAATTCTGTCGCGAAGCATTTTCATATGCATTTTTTCTTCATTAATGTTTATTTTTCTCTTAGATACAAGTTCTTCACAAGCCACCCTATCAACACCCAAAAGAACTGAAAGGAAAGGTTTTAAGAATAGGTTACGTTAGTTCTGATTTTGGAAACCATCCAACTTCACATCTTATGCAGAGTGTACCTGGAATGCACAACCAAGATAAAGTAGAGGTAAAAATACTTTTCAGTAGAAAAGTACATTTTTTTGTAGTTCTTAAATGGGCATAGGTATCCCCAGAACACTGGGGATTTCAGAGGATTATGCAAGCAGTTAGTTACCAGATGAAAAGAAAACCAAATTTGGCAGTGAATTTTTAAGCCAAACTGGAAAATTTTAACATCTTTTTTACCAAATTTATTTTCCTTTGGTTTAAAAATTATTGAATTTTTAAAATTTGTTTAGGATTCTTTCTGTTAGAAATTTTTAGATATTGTGTAGAAAGCCAATGGTTCGTTTAGAACTTTTTAGGTATTGAATATAAAGCCAATAGTTCATTTACAATTTTTTAGATATTGGATAGAAAACCAGTAGTTCGTTTCCGTTTTCTGTAATAACTAAATATTGCTACAAATTCTGTGCATAGATAGATTTTATTGCAATTACATATGGAATTGTACTCATGAAATATAGTATGAAAAAATCTAGAGAGACAATCTATGTTGGAAACTTAGGAATACAGGGGCAAGGCCATTAAACATTGAGTAAATGGGTATCTCAGCAATTTGGTGAGTTATTGCCAAGCTGGCAACAGATTTGGCGACTAATTGTTGTTGCCAATCTTGGCGACTGTTTGGCCATATTTTGGTCCAATCCTTACAGCACCTTAATAGGTATTATAATTTAATTAAATGTAATTAATCCTGATATTAGCTGTGTGTAATTTGACACTTATATTGTTTTCTAGTAACTTTGAAAAGCAGAAAGTGCTAAAAATATCTCGGCAGCCGGGTGAAAACTACAGTACAAAGTCTGTAATCCGGACTCGTCTGTACTTCGGCGATTCCAGATTAAGGGTTTTTCCGGATTATAGATCATCAATTTAAATCTGGTAAGATGGCATGCAGAAATTATACAATTAAAAATATGAAACCGTAATTTATGAAATAGAGCAATTATGATCCAAAGAGTATCAAAATTCACACAAAAAAAGCTTAATATTTATTTTCTTTATTAAACATGTCTTCGTTTTTTTGTGCTAAATGCGCATGCGTAAACGTTAAACGCTCATGCATAACATTAAACGTGCATGCGTAAAGCATACAAAAAAAGTTTGTGGCTTCGAGGTCCAGATTATAGATCATTCCAGATAATGGACATCCAGATTGACTTTGTACTGTGTAAGGTCGAAGAGAGCATCTGCTCTCAATTATTGTTGTTAGATCAGTGTGAGTTTCAAGTACTATCTCCAGTTTAGCTCCTCTCTTTAACTGCACTTTGCATTGCATTGTGTTTAATGGTTTGAAGTTCAGCTATGATTATACTCTTGTGATATTGTGAAGTATTGTACGTACTTTTGTGGAAAGTTCCAGGTATCTGAAGTATTTCTTTTGATGAAGTAAATTTTATCAATCTGTGCATTCAATTTATTACACAGCAGTGCGTATGCACACAACAATATAAATAATTAAATCAAAACATTTTAAGTACCTATTTATAATAATATGTTTCTACTTAGTGCCCTAATTGGTCAGTAGATTTACTTCTCTGCTATCGGTTTCAATTAAGAAATAATGGTAGCGAATTTGAAAACAATTTATGATCTTTTTATAAATATTCTATTGTATATTGGTTAGAATGTATATGTAATTAAGCAAGTATAGGTTGTATAGAAGCAAAGACTTGAAATATGAGGCTGATACTATCTCCAGTGAAGATGGAATGCTGCTGACTATGGAATCAAGATATTGGGAGGATACTTTGCCAGAAGAAATTTTAGCACACAGAATGACAGTGTGTGATCCTAGTTTTTGAACTGGTTGTGACCGTCCCATTGTGTAACCATTTCTAATCATTATAGGAAAACATTTTTGTAAGAAACCTGAGAATTTAAAATCATTTCAGTCTTAAAAAAATTAAACCTGTCCCCCCCAAAAGACTGTTTTTATGATTGAATAAAAATTATAAAAAAAAAAGGGGGTCTGATTCCTCTTCCTCTTGTGGGGTTTGTACGATCCCTGAGAGTCTTTAAAAGTATTAAATTTCGGCCAAACTTCCAAAGGTAAGTAATTTTAATCATCTGAAATTTCTCTTTTTGTAACTTCCATTTTGAGTGTGAATTAGTGTTTTGGATGACTATTTTTGTTGATTCACTGTCAAATATGTATTTCATGGGTTATTATTTGGATTTGCCTCCATTTCTAATATAAACAGTGCAATACTCGGGTTTCTGGGCAAGAAAAACATTTTGAAATTTTTTTTCCTTTTTCTTCTTTCCCCCCTTCCCCTTATGCAAAGCTTTTAAACAATTTGATGTGAATTCTTTTATTAAATGCTTCTGAATTTGGCAAATTTAAGATCAATTTCTATATAAAATTTGTAATTGGAGATTTGTGAATTTTTTACAATTTTTTAAAGGTTATAGCATTGATAAATTAAATATATTTAAATTATATTTAAGAAATAACATTAACATAAAACATTATTTTTCCCTATCATGTTACAAAGTGACATTTCTTTCCAATTGGCAACTTTTAAAAATATTTTGAATCTGAAAAATAACGTAATAAATGCTATTGAGCACAATTTAAAAAACAATTCTTAACAAAAGAAAATTACCTATTTAATGATTCAAGTTTTTTTAAAAAAATTTCTTATTAAGGGTTTTTATCCATGTAATTATTTCAGAATGTGCATCTGTGTACTCTATAAAATTCATTTTTATTTTTATCTCAGAAGTATCAGAATGTGTATCAGTTTACCCTATAAAAATCATTTTACACTGTTTTCCACTATCCTCTCCCAAATACTGCTGGCTTTTTGCTGTTACAGAATTTGTAAGGATAATTTTTCTTTTGGATTGATAGACATTGTACCTTTGGAAGTTTAAGGTTTGAATTTAAGATTTATATACCTATAATTTTAGAAGATTTCAGAAAAATGTGACAAAACAAAAGATGTCTTCATCGTATTAACACTTAATGGATATATTTTACAGGAAGTTTGTAATGAATTTCTTACTTTTTATTACTACTAACAATGAACACATAGTATTACTTTTGAATGTTTTACTACTGGTTTTAACATTCTTATCTTCCTTTTATTTTCTATTGCTTTCACTAGACACGAACATGGGATATATAAAAAAATGTTTCTCATCTTGTCGCAGGGATGTGCCTTTAGAAAGGATTTTTTCTATTAATAAATGAATTGACAATTTTAAAGATTCATCTTGCTCATTGCGTTACTAAATTCTAAAAATTCTGCTGCATTGACTGTATTTATCATTTATTCTCGATGTTCATACTATTGAAGAAATAAAATTAACAGCTTGTTCTATACATTCTAAATACATGTAGTCTTTTAGAATAAAAGAAATCTTTAGTGAAATCCAAAAATTCTAAAATGAAGAGGAAAGAAACTGAATACTTAAAGAGGAAGAAAATTATTCTTCAAAGATTTGTGCTGTTATTATTAACCAGTTGTTTATAATTTCTGCCTTTTATTATAACTTCTTTCTGTTTCCTCACCAGAATGCATATCAGTTAGATAGCATTTAAACTGAAGTTTTTAATTGTAAGACAGAACATGTTACTGCCTCTCGGCCACGTTACATAGTTCCTACCTGTTAAGTATTGAGGCAAGTTCACATTTCTCCGAGTGACTTTCGGCAAGCCCCTCGTAACGACGTCTTGAACCGAGTGAACAGACCTGTTATCTAATAGATTGTTTACTCCAATCAGATCTGGACTGATAACTTGCCTCTGTTTGTTTTCAAAATGGATACCAACGGGGCAGTTGCAGTGCTTGAAGTTTGAGAAGCAATTTTCAATGAATTAATTTATGTTCTTGGGGGGGGGAGGAAGGAAAGAAAATCAGTATGTGACTGGTCAGCTCGCCATGATGAATTGGGAGCATTAAATCAACTTTTAAATGAACAACTTCGGGGTGACAATATCCAAAGTTTCAAAAACTTCCATCAGAATGGGTGAAGTATAGTTTGGAACTTTATTGGAAATAGTCACTCCACTTATTCAGGGGGGAAAAAAAAAATGTTCTTTTGAGATGCTCTGCCAGCAAATTTCAAACACAGATAATGCTATGGTTTCTGGGGACGGGCTACTCCTACAGTTCTCTGCAATATTTATTTCGAGTGCATAATTACACAATCAGCATGTTTATTCTAGAAGTTGAGACCATTTTCTGTGTATGAGGTTGAGCAAAAGTTATTAATCTTTTGCTTAAGCTCTCAACACTCACAAATTTTAACATGTTGACAATATCCTAATATGCCTTCTGTTGGCGATTTTTATTTGAATACTTCCGACTGATCGTTTGTAAATAAAATTTTAATTTGTTGTTCAAATAAACAGTAAAGTCTATAAACAAAATTTCAAAATTTTAGATTGTATTTTATTAGGTGCATAATTGAAAACTGTATTTTATTGAGTAGTTTAATAACATATAATTTAAAGGTTTTTTTATTAAAGAAAATTCAGAATATGTTTTTTCTACAATATCAAAAACCTAAATTTATTCTGATTAGTAATTGTATCCGTGTTATATTTAGGTATTAGTAAACAATGGTCGTGATATTCAGGTAGTGAAATATTCCATAATACTTCACAAGATGCATATGCATTAAAAAATGCTTAGTTAGAGTATCGCTCTGTCTCAGAATTTTTGATATGACAGAAAAATTGGACACCATGTCTGCGAATACTATTCAAGAGTTACTGCCCGGATAGATTTTCAACTGGTTTGAATTAGAAACGAAATCGCTGACTGACCTGTATTTCTATTTGCATGAAATGAGCGTTTACATTGTCAAAGATGTCTTAGCAAGAGGGTCACTCAGAAAAGTGTAAACTTACCTTTACTGAGCCAGCTTAAATCAAATTTTGTAGTCTTTATCAACTATTCATGTTTAGTTAAATCATCGTGAGCTGTAGGTGATATGATTTAGTATAAAAACACGGATTTATTTTGTAAATTTTATTTATATAAAGAGGTT